TATATTTTAACTTTTTTAATATATTTGGGAATTTTAGGAAGCTAATTTGTCTAAGGGCACTTTAAACCTTCTGATGCAGCACATTCAGTGACTTTTGGGTATGGTGGATGTTTGTCAAGCTTTGGACCTTCCCAGTCCCTTTGAACACCCTTCTTACATTTGAGGACTTCTACAAGTTATGACTCCTGATTTCCTGGGCATGTTTTCCCCGCATCCCCTGCAGCTAGGGCCTAAGCTTGTGGCTGAGGTTGTGGCAACCAGCAGCAAGATGTCAGTTTGGAAGCAAATACCATAAAGAAGGAGGTGCCATCCTGGCCAGCATAGCCCCATTAGTTGGGCATCGTTCCATGGCCTGAAAGGTCAATGGTTTGATTTCCAGTTGGGGTGTGTGCTTGGGTTGCAGCTTGATCCCCTGTAAGGTGCTTGCAGAAGGGAGCTGATCAATGTTTCTCTTTCACATTGATGTTTCTCTCTCTTTCCTTCACCCTTCCCCTCTCTCTAAAAAGCAATTAAAAAAAAGAAGAAGAAAAAAAAAGGTGAAGCTGTGCAGAATTCCTTCTATCAAGGATTCTGAGAGACAGAATCCAATTGTTAAAGGCAACTGTGGCAGATCCTGGCTCCTGACTATGAAGTCCTGTGTCCAGCATCAGGAGTGTGGGCAGAGATGCCTGAGCCCAGTGGCCAGAGTACCAGCATTTCCACTAGTGGAGTTCAATGGTATAACTTGGATATCACTCTTGGGTGGCTATCCTCTGAGCGTGGTTCTCTGGCTCTCCTGAAGATCCTGAGAGGGACTGAATATTCTTTATAAATTCCTTTTCTGCTTAAACTAGCTTGCATGGGTCCTGTTTGCAAATCTGACTGATAAAATGAGGTTGTTGTGTATCCTGTGACTTCCATTTTTCTGTTTTAACTGCTTTTCAATCCCTTTCCCAATCTTCCAAATTCATACATTATAATTGAGCCATGAAACACAGGAGATTATGCAGGTCATTAGGGCCCAATATTAAAGACAACATGATGCAAAGGGTCTTACATATTTACATTTAGAGCAGGCCCACCCTCAGTTTTCAAATCTCTACATAATTTCACACTTATAAAATGCTGCAAACTTGATAAATTTTAATTAGAAGAAGGAATATTTCTCAGATGGTCATCTTTTAGTAAAGAAACATCTTCCCAGGACAGCTCCCTGAAGCCTAGTCACCAGGCCCAGGTCAGCCCTAGGCGAGGCAGACCCAGCCTGGAGTAAAGATTGGCAGTTGTATCCATCAGACCACCCTTGGATGACTGGCCTGTGGCTCTGTCTTTTCCTCTCCAAAACTCCATCACATATAAAGAAACACGCATGTTTGGCTCTCAGTGATAGAGTTTTCCATTCTGTAATCATTGTTTTACGTATGGATTTTATATCTCTGATTAAAGAGTTAATCCCTGAGGGGCAAGAACCACATCCTGTGTTTCTTTTAGATTTCTCACAGCACTGAGCAGACTGCCTAAACATTGTAAGGGCTTGTTTAATATATATATTTGCTGATTGATTTTTCTCTTGGGGCCGTGGAGTCTAAATTACACGGATGTCTCATCACTCTTCAATGAGAGAGATCTGAGAATCAATAAATAATAAACTACAGGAATTAAGTTTAGAGCCAGAAAAGTTGAAGATACAAGTCTCAGCCTTGTGTGAGTAACCCACCTTAGTTATGTATCAATTGGAGCTGAAACAAGCCTACTCCAACCACCTCCCAGCACTGGGAGCTTTGTAAGAGATAATATGCACTTAAAGTATATTGTGATTATTATCTGGTCTACATGGAATGGGACCTGAGAAGGAAGTGGAGAAGAAACTCTAAAAATTATTGTATAGAGAAGGGACCATAGCTGTCATGACTCATTGGGTTTGGCCCCACCTGACTGGGGCCAACGGGTTTTGTAGCACAGGACCATTGGGTTTCCAAGTGTATTAGGGAGCAGGAATCCTCCTCTTCATCAACCCTTCCTAGCCAAAGTATCAATTCTACCTCAGACTTTAAAATATCTAAACCCATAGCCCAGTGCCCCTTCCCACCCTCCCCTGGGTTCATTCCCTGGTCCTCTCCCACAGCTTCGGCTGCTTTCTGCCTCTTGTCCCCAGCCCCCATCAACATGGAGGCAGTTGTTGCTTTAAAAAAGCAAAGCTGATCACCTCACCCCTCTGAGCTCCATTGCATATCTATCTAGTTCTATGTATCAATGGTGTTTCTATATCTAAAGGGGAAGCCCAGTTATGAGGCTATTGGAATCAAGTGAGAGATGTTGGATGTGTGAACTAGAATAGAAGGTGGGAAAAGATTTGAGAAATAATATGTGAAACTATAAATGATGTGTGTGTGTGTGTTGTTAAACAAAGTGTGAGCCATGGTTATCTCTAAGATGTCTTCTATGATTTATCCAACAAATATTTATTCCAAGTCTACAGCATGACAGGCACCATTCTAGGCACTGCAGATATGAGGTGATAACATAAAAAAAGGTCCTGCTCTCTTGTAGCTCACAGTCTGGAGAGGAGAATAGGAATATACAGAAAATCAGTAAGAAATCGATCAGGGCCACAGGACAGTGACTTGGGGAACTACTTGAGATAAAGTGGTCATGGGAAGTCCTCGGAGGGGGTGATACTCAAGCTGAACTTCGGTGAGGAGGAAGAGCGAGCTGGACACAGAGCTGGAGAGTAATGTTCCAGACAGAAGAAAGAGGAGTGCGGGCCCTTGGGGGAGAAAGCCTTTGGTGTTTCTGAGGAACACATGCCAGTGTGAGTGCCAAGCAGAGTACTGGGAAAGCAGCGGCATGGGGTAGAGTGAAGAGGGAGGCAGGAGCAATTTCTATAGAAAGACTTAGTGGTCCTTGTCAGGGGTTTGAATTTTCTTCTAAGATTGGAAACCATTAAGTGGCTTTGAGCCAGGGAGAGACACAGAATGGTTCATACATTCAACAGGTCCCATTGGTGCCCGAGTGAAGGAGAGGCTGTAGGGGTCAGAGTAGAAGTAGTAGGCATAACTGGATATAAGGGGCAAGGTAGGACGGGGTGGGATGGGCTCTGGCTGAGTTGCTGGTGGCTTGACTAGGGCGTGTCCAAGGACATGGGGAAAAGTGGTCAATTATAGGTTCTGTTTTGTGGGTCAAATAGCTGCTTGCTGATGGAATGACTAGATATGAGGGTGAATGGCGGGAAGGAATCAAGGATGGCTTAGGGTGGATGGTGATGCCTTTTGCTGAGTCAACTGGGAAAAGAATAGTTTTGGGAAGAAAAGCTGAGCTCATCTTCGGACATGTTCAGCGTGAGGCGCTAGCCACTCCAGTGGAGATGACAAACGGTACAGTAGTTGGAGAAATATGCCTGGGGTTCTGGGAAGTCCTCACTGTAGATTTACATGTGTGAGTCATCAGTGTGTAGATGACATAACAGTCATGGGGCTGGGAGGGAATGCCATGGAGAGAGTGTAACCGGATCAGAGGGTGGAGGGCAGCCCTCCTTACCAGTAGAAAAAAACAAGGGCTGAGATGCCTGGAGAGTGAGGTTAGAGGGAAAGCAGGAGGGGGGAGCTTCCTGGGCTCCTACGGAGGAAGGTGTGTCCAGGTGAGGAATTCAGTCAACTGTGCCTGACATCCCTGAGTGGTGGGGCAAGACAGGGGCAGAAAAGTGATAAGAGCACAGGGTTTGGCAACATGTAGGTCATTATGGTGACTACGACAAAAGCAGTTTAGGACCCAAGCTTGACTGGAGTACAGAGAAGGAGGGGTGAGAATGGGTAGCGGGCAAGGGTACATGGCTCTCAAGTTTTGCTGAGAGGCTGGATCATGGGTGCTTTTGCTTTTCCCGTTTGTATATTCTTATTTTCCAACAATGACCATTTGTTACTTGTATAATATACACATTGCAGATAGCACTTCACTGTGTATGAGAAAAGGAAGGCTTCCTAGTAGAACAAGGCAGACCTTCATCTTCCCTTCACTGCGACCCCTCCAAACCCAGGCTTGCTCTTCTCCACAAGCACCAATCTCTTGTCTGCTGCAGTCGTTATTTCATTCTTACCAGCTTGCACCATATAAATAAATTCGGAGTCTGATACCAGGCATTAGCTGTGGCTGTGGCTCCCACCCCTCTCAGCATCCCTAAGCCACCCCACACATATCCTGGGTCATTCGGTTACCCACTTACCACCCACCAATTTCACCCACACGTCATCAGTCCCACAGCTACAGACAAAGCTCATTTCCCCCTGCCTTCTACTTTCCTGGCTGGCAGAGCAGCAGGATGGGGTAACAGGGGAAAGAAGAGGGCCTCAAAGTGAGACGCACACGGGTTCCTTCCTCCACCTGCCACTTATTATCAGTGTGACCTTAGGCAAGAAAGTCTCTCTCTTAAGGGCCCTGTGCCTCAGTTTCCTCACTTGTAAACGAGGTTAGTAGAAGCCACATCTTATCAGTTTTGCAATGCCTGGAATAAAGTAAGCAACAGCTGCGGTGGCTCACTTTGCATGAGCGTGGCGAGGATGGTTGAGTCACAACAGGCGAGAACTAAGATGCTTCAGAAATGTGACCCGCCAGTAGGGCCCCTCACATGACTGGGAGATGCCAGACCGTATCTGTCTCCTCGCACAGGGCGTGTGCTGGTCCGGTGACCCGTCTTTCCAGTCGCCTCACACACCGGGTCTGTGATCACCCGCCCCTCACCCATAGCTGAGCCTGACGCGGCGGCGGCTCAGGCGCCTTTCCTGCCCAGCCTCCTGCCACGGACCACACGTCGCATCCCTGCGCTCGGCCCCGCCCCCGGCCCCGGGCGCGCCCCTCCAGCTCGCAGCTCGGGTGTCCGAGCGGCCGCGCCCACGGGCCGTGAGCGCTAATTGGCTGAGCTGAGGCGGTGGGCGGTCCGGGGAGCACACACCCTCCTCGCTCAGCCAATGGGCGTGTGCGCGTCATTGACTGGCCCGCCAGCCGGCAGCCCCTCAATAAGCCACATTGTTGCACGAAACTCGAGCGCTGGAGTCCTGAGCCGCCGCTAGCAACGCGGAGTCACCAAGCCCAGAAGACCTGCGAGCGCGAGCAGCGCGCGAGTGAGCTGGACAGGTCCGATCACCCTGGTAGAGCCGGGCTCCGATTCTTCCCAAGTTGAGCCTTAGTGATCCCGTGGCTGAAGTTAGCGCCTTGACAACTGGGCAACCCGACACGTCGCCGGGAGTGATTTTTTTGGGAGCCTTCTAGCAGTTTTGATTTCCCAAACCTGTTTCTAGAGACCGGAGACCCTTCAGCCGGGCGGGCCATCGCTGTTAGCCTTTTTTGTGGCCGCTCGGACTCACCGCTCCCGGTCGCACCACCAGAGCTGTCTGACCGCGCCGCCCTCCTTCCCCGCAAGCGCTCCAGCCTTCGTTTCCCAAGTCGGCGCCGTCGGGCCGTGGCAAAATGATCGCCTCGCATCTGCTCGCCTATTTCTTCACGGAGCTCAACCATGACCAAGCGCAGAAGGTAAGTCAGCGCGGGCGGGGGTGGCTGGCTCGCCTCTGACAAAGTTGTGTGGTCCCCGCCTCTCTCTCCCTGGTCCCTGCCGAAACTCTCCTTCACCTTGCGGGAGACACTCTTCTTCCCCATTCCGGGCCGAGGAGGCGGAAAAAGTCTGGGCATCCGGGAAACTCCCTCGCTGGAGGAGCCCGGTCCGCTAGGCACCGGCAGGCTCGTGCGCGCGTGCGGGGCACCGGGGCTCGCGCTCCGCACCGCTCTCCCTCCCTGCC